TGGCATGCGTGTGGCCCGGGTTCGATCCTCAGCACCACATACCAACAAAGATGTTGTGTCCGCCGAGAACTAAAAAATAAATATTAAAAATTCTCTCTCTCTCTCCTCTCTCACTCTCTCTTTAAAAAAAAAAAAAAAAGGTGGAAGAGGAAGACAAAGAAGAGGAGGAGGAGGAGGAATAAAAACTGTTTAAAAAAAAAAAGAAGCAGAAGTCACACATAATTTTTCTTCCTAGAGACTGCCCTTATACTGTGTGCCTTTTTAAAATTATGTATATTAATTTTTTGATAGAAATAAAATTAATGCCAGTAAATATTACTATATCAATTAAGTTGTCAATGTTTCAAAAAAATGTTTGATGTGATTAACTCATGACCAAATAAATAATCTATCCTATTATACAAGTAAAGGTTTTTTTATACTTGAATACCAGAAAAGATCACTTCACCAGCCTCATAATTCTACATCATAGTGAGAATTTACTCTGAGCAATGAAGCTCTAGTTGTTATCCCTGAGTGTAATGAAATAATTCTTGTCAGGAGACATTTTCACATTTTATCTGGTCCTTGCTTTACATTCCTTTATAATAAATTTACATTTGTGTTATCTTTTGCTTATACTCCCTAGAGATATTTTATAGATCATATAGTTTTTTAAACTTTTATATCAAATGTCTCTATTTTTATATCAGATTTCAACACCCAAGCACAGACAATTCCTTTAAATTCAATTTTAACTTATGGTTTACAGGATAATCATATTTTTAATATATTTTTTAGATGTTGATGAACCTTTATTTTATTTATTTTGTGTGATGCTGAAAAACAAACCCAGTGCCTCACACATGCTAGGCAAGCGCTCTACCACTGAACCACAACCCCAGCCCAAGATAATCATATTTTGTTGAACATAAATTTCAGGAGTTATCCTTATATATTTTGAACCTTAACTCATTTCTGTTAAATTTATTTTTTAGATTTTGTACACACAGAGGGTCAGCTTCAAAATGAAGAAATTTTGGTAAGTGAATATACTTTGTTTAGATAAATATCATCTTTAGTAAGCACAMTGTTTTTAATTTTTAAATCTATCTCCCTAGTCCTAGAATTAATAAATATCCTTATGGTATTGTAGGTTCTGTACCTCATCAACCAATAGAGAGGTTATTCTCAACAGTATTATAAGCTAAATATATTATAAGGAAGGGTGAAAGCAAGGATAAAGCAGAATTTTTTTTTGTTGTTTTATTCTGCTCATTTATTTATTTGGAAGTATTTGATAGTTCTACTTGGCTTTCTTTCATGTGATTCTGTAGGCCATTTAGAACAGGAATCAAAAAAAGGTTGAGATGTCAAAACTGGATGTTAATTTAAGCAYGAAAGGACAAGAGAGATTCAGATAAAAGGAACTGGAGCATAGGATCAGCAACAAATAAGCCAAAGAGAGATGAAGTGGAAAGAGAACCAGTATTTTTCAACAACATTCCACTGGGCTTTGCTTGTCAAGTGGAATGAATGCCCTTTGATGAGGGAACTGCTGCCTCGTCAGGAGTTCCTGTGTTCCTGCTAGGTTTTCAGGCCTTGGTTTAGACAAACACAAAAGTAAAACAACCGAATGTGTATTTTTTTAGGTGGTAGTATTTGTTTAACTAAGGTTTCTTTAAATAAGGTTTCTCTAAAGGTACCTTATCCATTAAGTTTATGTCTTCATATCTTGCTAGGAGCTGCTATGAAATTAAGATTCTGTGGGAAGTTTTTGAATACATTAGTCTCTTTCTCCCACCAAAATTGGCCTGATAATTAGGAAGGTGGAGGAGAGGACGACAAAAATGATTATTTTTGCTGAATTTTACCTTCCTGTTCTCCCTTTTTACCTAGTGGGTTAAGATTAGTGAGCCCTTGCTGTCTTGGTAGTTTGTTTCTAGATTCATTGTAGATTAGGGCAGGATTATAGAAAGTAGTAAGGGGGGATTAGAGGCTGAAATTACCCATAATTTTATTACTCTGTCACAAGAGATTTACTACACTTATTTTCTTCTAGTTGTTGACCATATGCATCACATAGTTATAATAATATTGTACAATTTTGTTTTACCTTTTTAACTTAATGTTATTTCACAAGCTTCATAATTCCAATTTTAAGATAACATTTGCTACTTCCATTCATTTAAACTAATTTTCTTTTTTCTCCTGCTGTCATTACAAGTAATATACAGGAGACATTTTATACATGTTCTTGCTACCATGACCTTCACCTTTTTTATTATTTTCTAAGATTAAATTTCATGGAATGGAATTACTAGGTATAAGGGTACAAACATTTTTATAGCTTTTTACATATTTGCCAAAGTGCTTTCCAGAAAATCTATTCAAATATAAAAGTATGGTTATGCTATAGGGTAGTATATTCTGAGGCATCATTAACCAAGGGAAATCTCTTTTCATGAAGACTACTTTCAAAACTGCTACACCCCAGAACAACCGTTATATGTGGCTGGGTTACCTTCTGAATATTGTATCTTGCATATTGTTATGTATTTAGAATATCACTCTTGCATCATACCCTTTCTTCTGCTGTTTGTTAACAATTACTAAAAGTATCCATATTGATTTTTCCTCTACAGGTTCATGATGGCTACTGTACTTACTTGAGATTCATAATTACAAAAGCCTTTGATCATTTTATATCTGTGCATTGTGTTTCTGCAGAGGGACTAGTAGTCTCAAATCATTCTTAGTAATTATAATAAAATACTCTTGCATGATTTTTAACAGTGTATTTATTTAAACATGAAATTGTCATTAGTAGACTTTATTAAAAGATGTGTATCAGTCTGCTTAAGTTTTTATATTTTTTCAATATTTTGGGCAAAGACATTCTGGTTTCGTTAATCAGCAGTGCTGACCGCCATGGAGGATATGAGGAAGCCTTGGTTTCAATATATAGCTTAATCAAGGAAATGACTATACCTGAAAATTTAACTGATAATACAATATGTCCCCACAGCATCTAATATAATACCTATCAKATCTCAATGCATTAATTTTTTAATTTATTGACTGATGCAAAGAACTGAGCAATATAGATAGTAAACAATGTAAGAGTTTAAAGAAAAAAAGTATTTATGGGAAAGTTTGATTGAGGCCATGGGACCTGAACTAGACCCTGTAAAATGAGTTGTAATTTTGGTTTTCAGTTTTTGAAATTTTGTTCTGATTTGAAAACCTTACAGAAGAGTTAGGAAGCATAACCACATTTCCCGATTATTCACATTATTTTATATTTTTTGATATTTTGAGGAAACAAGGAAGAAAGAAGGACACACTGGTAAAAGACTTCTCTGAGTATATCTTTGTGTATGTGTGTGTGTGTGTGTGTGTGTGTGTGTGTGTGTGTGTGTGTTGCTGGGGATCAAACCCAGGGCCTCATGCATGGCAGGCAAAAGCTCTATCACTGGGTTACACCCTCAGCCCTATGAATATATCAATAGTTTTGACTTGAAACATAAATAACTTATATAGCCAAAAATTAAATTTAAAAGCAGTTTCAAAATAAAAGCAAACAGGAATGCATGAACCTAACTTTATTACAAGTTGGTAAAATAAACATACAGGAAAAGATGATTATTTTAAGTGATAGTATTTTGTCTGTGTAGTCTGCATTAGTTTTTTAGTGCTACTATAACAAAGTACCACAAACTTGGTGATTTTAAATTTTAAACCAAAGAAACTTATTTTCTCATAATTCTGAAGTCTAGAAGTCCAAAATCAAGGTGTTGACAGGGTTAGTTGCTACTAGGTGTTATAAGGGAGGCTCTGTTCCATGACTTTTCTTAGTCTCTGGTGTTGCCGGCAACCCTTGGCATATGGCACCATAGTGCCAGTCTTTACCTTCAGTGTCACATGGCATTCTATGTATCTTCACATGTTTTTTCCTCTGGATGACTGTTTCCATGTGTCTTGTCTTATCACCACACCAGTCATATTGAGTCATATTAAGGCCCCACCATACCCCAGTATGACCTCAGCTTTATTGTCTACATCTATAGTGACCTCATTTTCAAGTAAGATCATGTTCACAGGTTCCAGGTATTAAAACTTCAAATATGTTTTTGGGGGACACAGTTCAACTCACAAAGCAGTGCATTTGTTAATGCTTAATTTTACTGATCAATTTGGTTGGGCTATGCTGACCAGATATTTGTCCAACATTATTCTGGACGTTGTTGTGAAGGTGTTTTTTATATAAGATAAACATTTAAATTGGTGGACTTTGAATAAAGCAGGTCACTTTTCTCCATAATGTRGCAGCCTTGTCAAATCATTTAAAAGCCTTAACAGAATAAAGACTGACTTCCCCTGGCTAAGAAGGAATTCTTCCAGATATGACCTTCAGAACTGAACTGCATGCAGCATTGGTTCTTCCCTGGGTCTCCAGATGGTAAGTCTCCCCTGCAGATTTTGGATTTGCTGGCTTCCAAGAGCCAAAGCCTTAAAATTCTCTCTATATATACGCATCTAGGCTGGCTCAGGTGATATTCCTAAAAGCTGAGACTACGGGCATTAATTTTTTATTTTTAATTTTAGTTGTAGATGGACACAATATTTTATTTTTTATTTTTTGTGGTGCTGAGAATGAAACGCAGTACCTCACATGTGCAAGGCAGGCCTGAGCTACAACCCCAGTCCTTTCAGGCATTTTTTTTTTTTAATTCTTTCTTTCTTTCTTTCTTTTTTTATTTTCTTTCTTTCTTTCTTTCTTTCTTTCTTTTTTTTTATTCATACATGACAACAGAATGAATTTTGACATATAATACATACATGATACATCAATCATATTGTCAATTCTATTCTGCTGCCCTTTCAGGCATTTTTTTGGAGAATTTTTTTTT